TGAATCAAAAATACGTTCAGCACTTTGAACATCACCAAATTTCATTAGCATATCTATTGCTGAATTTAATACAATATTATTATTTCGATAATCATCAGGCATTTCATCTAGAAGTTTTCTTCCAATTTTCATTGCTCGATCATTAGCAACTTGAGCACATACATTAAATAAAATTGTAAGAGTATAATTGTCAGGTTTAAATGTCATTTGATCTAATAAATCAAATACTTTTTCTGGCATATTATTATTTTTTAAGCCTAATAATGAAAAATATTTAATAAGACAAAAATTATAAAAAATATTAACCTTTGAACATAGCTGTACAGATATAACTAGATTTGTTTGTTATTGTAGAGAATAGACGAATTGCATTATCCATATCGTGATATTGTGCTAAAAATAAAAAGAAAACTTGATGGGTATAGATATCTATCGAATATGATTGAACATTAACTAAATGATATGTTTTTTTTGTTGTTGAATGTTTAGTATAAATAATTATAAGGTATTTTATTCACGGATTGCTAGTATTTTATGTGCTTGTCTCATGAAGTACAATTAAATTTGGAAAAATCTGATTGAATACCTTGAATAATTGTTGACAAAGTGACATTCACTCAATTGTAATATTTTAACAAAAAAAAGAATATAAGAGGATATTATTTTTTTTTGTGTAAGACAAAATAAAAAGTAAGTTTTTCAAATTAACCAAAGAGATTGAAGTTGCTTATTTAGGGTAATACATAAAGGACGATTAGAAAAAAAGTTACATTTCTTGCTAACCTTATTCACCCTCTCTACCCAGATGAGTCTAGTTTCATCAATATGGGATGTTCGAAATAGAAAAAACCAACCTTCTAGAAAGAGCTTGCTTGTTCAAAAATGCTGCTCTTTCGTAGAAATCACATATATATATATTGTCGAAGAAAATCTATTAAATCCAACTTTAAATCGAAGCTTTTTCGACTTCTCTCATTTCTCATTCTCTATGATGGACCTTAGCAACCAAAAGTGATAGGGCTCAACAATATTAAAATAAGGCTTAGAAAATTCTAGGATATTCGAAAACGTTGCTTGAAATCTGGTTGACTTCAATGCATTGATTAACATTTCTAACGACGAAATTTTTAATTTTAGAGCAGATAAGCAATTATATGATAGATATCAAGGATGATATTTTGATTGATGACAACTATCGTATGATCAATACAAAAGCATGATTGGATCAAATTTTAATTTACAAAAATAAATTAATTTTACTCTTATTATATCCGTCATGATATATCATAAATCGTTGAGATCTACTCTACATATAATGAATGTATGAAACAGACTTATTTAACAATTAAATCTATTATTAGACTTATGATAATTAATTATGAATAGAAAATAAATGTCATGTAAATAACAACAAAGCAAATGAAAATAGGATCCATTAAAAACAAACAGAAATTTTGTTTTCTATTCTAATTATAACAATAAATATGACAACATTTGCTAATAATCAATTATTGTGAAATAGAACTATAGTCTTTTACAGATCTCACACATTGCATATTCTATATATCGGTAGAATGAATCTAAACAATATATGTAAGTACCATCTATTAGTCAAAAAAAGGACCATGCTTACGAGGCTTTTATATTAAATAACAGTTTACTAAATAAATATATTAAAACATAGAAAATAATATGAAAAAGCTAAAACATATACTCCATAAACAATAAAGAAAACTATAACAGATGATAGATTTTTTTTCAAAAACGACGTATTTTAATGAATAGAAAATAGTACAAGAAAAAAAAAATGAAGTATAATACGAATAGCAATCAAAAATCTAACTACATTCTTAGTACTACTCGAAAAAACTAACGAGTCGTTTATGTAGGATAATCGTTAATTATTTCAACGTTATATTCATATTCAACTCATTGATACAATCCATTTTTTAAAGCACGATCTAGAAGTGTTTAAGTATATAAGGTAGAAATTTGTATCCTTTCCACGACCTTCCTTCACAGAATGTAACAGATGTTCTGCTCTCTCTTCTACTAGAAACCGTCACAGATAGTTTCGGAGATCAGGAATGTTTTTTTTTGACATAAGGTTAAAGACCATATATCACTAACATGTCATGACGATATATATGAGCTATCTTTTATTACACTTTTAAAGAATTACATAAACAATAATTAAGAAACGTGTCGAAAAATATATTCAATCAAACAGTTTTCATATGATTTAGTAACAAGATCTACATTGTATTTCACGTTTTAATCGCATTGGAATTGTACTAACAGCTTTTCTATTTAGAAATGTTCTTCAAAAAAACAAAAAGCCAAATTTGAAAATTTCGTTTGAAAGTTGTGTCAAACAAAGAGGAAAAACATTCATAATAAGTATCTGAATGTCCAGAACTCGTTAATCTACACTCTTCCCCATCCATTTCCTCTATTCAACTTTCTCTAGTTTTGTCGTACGCTCCGCTCTTTGCATGAGCGTCGTTGATGGATGATTTCTCATATAGAGTAAATTTATAATTATGCAAATCTTAGTTTATGAAGAAAAAGTCAAAAATAAAAAAAAAGAATGTTTTCTGAAAGATAAACATATTCTTATTAATTGAAGTATTCACAAATTTATATTTTTCTATAATCTATTCTAATTGACAAAAACAAAAAATGAATGACTTACAATAAAATCGAATTAATGATGTTTGAATATAATTATTCTTCAATGAATTTGATTGAAGTTGTTTTTGAATACGAATACCACGATTATAATCATTGATTAAACTACAAGCATTTATTGCCATACTAATAGTATAATCGTTACATATTTCAAACTTTTCATCGAATAAATCTAAAGCTTGTTTATATTTTTTAGCAGCAATAAGATCTTTAATTGCTGTGTTTAATTGTGTTGATGATAAAATAATATTTTTTTTATCGTTCTTATTGTGTGTTGATAATAATCTGTGACATCGGAATATTAAATTAATATTATTTTTGATGATTGACATGTTTTAATCTAGAATTAAAAAAAATTATATAGAAATACGTCTTTTTTTACAAAAACAATTTTAAAAAAAATTGTAAAAAACTATTTTCTTTTAGCTACTAAGATAAAATCCCTATTGAACTAAGTTGCATACATCTCTTACATATATGGGTATTTCAAAATATTCAATTGTATCGACAAGTTGCATACATCTCTTACATATATGGGTATTTTTAAAATATTCAATTGTATCGACAATACATTAAAAAAAATAGATGTCACTCATTGTGGGAGATTGTTTTTTTTGTTATTCACCGTTTTTTTTTCTTTGTACATATACGTTTCTATATATAAGTTACAGGTATAGAATAATAAATCTTGTGTATGTGGGTTGAAGCTTACTTACAGGGATTACATACGAGTGCAATTTAATAGTCACTCTTTAATATTCATCCTTGGGAAGGTCTGAGATAAAGACCAATCGAGACTCTAGCAGGGTTCCATGCGTTTAACATATGGCAGGTGATCAGAAAGCTTCCGGTGTGAAGTTACTTTCTCAATGGTAATGTACAAGATCAACATTTGTTGAGATACTTCCATTGAAAAAGTTGTGAAAGCCTGTGGTCAGCAATATGAAGTTCAATGAGTAAGATGATCATTATCCTATGATCAGAACTCAATTCAGACTACTCTCAACCTACATACTATTTTTATTTTTACATCACATATTTATTCTTCTTTATTAGATGCACACATATGTTTTCAAAAAAAAAAAAAAAAAAAGAAAAAGACAAATTAATATAGTGTGTGTATGTACATGACAGACAAATTTTCCAGTTACAGAAATGACAAACAAAAAGAAAAAAAAAATATATATGTATATTTATATTTAGATTATCTTATTTACGATAAGTTGTAAATGAAGATGAAGTTGCTGATTGTGTTGATGTAGCTCCAAATGATGACGTTGCTGCTAAAATATAAATAATAAAATAAAATAAAAAAAAGAAATTTTTTTTTAAAAGATGAATTAACTTACTACCAAAACCAGTTGTTTGTCCAGATGTTCCTCCAAACATTGAACCACCAAATGGTGATGATGTAGGAGGTGGTGATCCAAAAGAACCAAAATCTGATTGTGTTGTTGTCGGTGTTGTTGTTTCTGCAGGTTGAGCACCACCAAATCCACCAAATGAAAAACCAGTCGATGATCCAGACAAATTTGCTTGTGTGCCAAAACCAGAAAAACTACTACCAAATGCAGGTGTACTACTACTGCTGCTACTACCAAATAATGAAGTACCAGCTGTTGATTTAGCAGTTGAAGTAAATGGAAAACCACTACTACCAAATACACTCGTACCCGATGTTGATGCTGTTGAAGTAGAACTAAAACCACCAAATGTTGTACCTGGAGATGCTGTCGAACTAGCACCAAATCCACTACCAAATGGAGATGTTGTTGATGCACTACCAAATAGACTAGTACTAGGTGCTGATGTTGTTGTAGTAGAAGTATTGAAGCCGCTGCCAAATAGATTAGGAGTTGATGTTAATGTTGCTGGAGCACCAAATAGACCAGTGCCCGATGCTGATGTTGTTGCAGTTGTAGTAGTAGGAAAGCCCACGCTAATACCAAGTGGAGTAGAAGTTGAAGTTGTTGCAGTAGTAAATAGACCAGTACTGGATGCTGATGTTGCTGGAGCTGAAGTCGTAGGTGTACCGAATCCAGTACCAAATGGAGCAGAAACTGATGTTACCGCAGTTGTTGTTGTAGTAGGAGTACCGTACCGAATCCGGTACCAAATGGAATAGAAGGTGATGTTGTCGCAGTTGTTGTTGTAGTAGGAGTACCGAATGGAGTAGAAGCTGATGTTGTTGTTGTAGTAGGAGTACCAAATCCGGTACCAAATGGAGTAGGAGTTGCGGATGTTGCTGTTGTTGTAATCAATGAACTAGGAGCAGATGTAGTTGTAATAGAAACATTACCAAATAATAATCCGTTATTTGTTGTTGTTACTGTAGTAATACCAAATGGAGTAGTCAATGATGTAGTAGATATTAAATTAAGTGCATTACTACCAAGTATTGGTTTTGATCCGAATGAACTTAGACTAGTCGATATAATTGGTTTAGTTGTTGGAGATATTGATTGAACAGATGTTGTTGTTGTTGGAGCTTGATTTGTTACTTGTGAAGTTAATGTATTAGGAATATTTGATTTAATAATTTGATTTGTTGTAGAATTAATTTGTGGTTGATTTAAATTTGATGTTGAAGTTGTTGAAGTTGATACTGTATTATTATTATTAAGTAATGATCGTATAACACTATCACCTGATATTTTTGATAGATCAGTAGATGTTTGAATAAATGGTTTATTTGATTGAATTTTTGATGATATATCTGATGATATTGTTGGTGTTGCTGGTATAATAGAAATATTTGGTATAGGTGAAGGAACAGTTTTAGCTGGTATTTGTACAATATTTGTTGATGGTATTGTTGTATTTAAGGGTTTTGTAACAGTTGGTGATTTTGAATGAGTTGTTGTTGTTGTTGTGGTTGTTGTTTTAGGTATAGTTGGAGTTTTATTAATTGATATTGTATTAGATTTTTGTATTGATGATGATGATGATGATAATGGACTTGTTGAAATTGTATTTGATAATTCACGTAATTGTTCTGGACTTGCTGCACCAGAATATAGATCGATTGATGCTCGAACAATACGTAACAGTTGTTTAAAATTTTCAGATTCAATTGTTGGTGAAGAATTTGTTTGTATAGGTGTGTGTGGTTTAGTTATTTCAATAGTTGAAGATTTTTTTGTTCATTTACTGATGATAAATGAATTAATGGTGTTTGTGGAACATAAATTTCATTAATATTTGGATGAGTAGCTTGTAAATGTAATAAAATTTCTGAATCTAACGGATGAAATAATTTCTGAGACGACATTGTCGTCTTTGTTAAATTTGAACTAAACAAAAAAAAAAAGTAAAGTATGCAATTACAAAAATTTATAACTATACTCATTTTGTTTACTACTTAATAAATCTTTATTGAATTTTGTATAAATAATTTGTAAATCTTTTTCTATGTCAGATACTTTATGACTAAGTTCACGTAGACGTTTTTGAATTCGTTGTTTCATTGTTTGAGATGTATTTAATAGTTCTAAATCAGGTAGAAAATCTCTAAAGAAAAAAAAAAATACAAAATAAAATTTTGTTCTTTTCTTTCAAACGAACTCATTTTCAATATCATTATCGTTTCTAGATAATGATTTATTATGTATTGTTTTATGTGTTAATTGTAATAAAACATTTAAATTATGTTTAACTTGATCATATTTATTTTTAATTGAATCAAGACGTGTTTGTGTCCATGGATCAAGTTCACGATCTTTTAATAAATGATAAAAATTTTCTTTCTGACATAATTTTATTTGATGACGAGCATTTTCAATTCTTGTTATAGATTCTATATGTTCAAATTATTAAGTATACTATTTATATAAATCAATTGTGCATGTGCAACTATATAATAGATAAAGATAATATGCACTCATTCTATCAGTACGATAAAACTAAAATTGGCACCGTTATGATTATCAAGACTATATAGGTATATTTATTCAACTATTTTGTGGAGCTCACATATATTTTCGAAGAAAATAGTGATTATAAGTTTTAAGTCGAAGTTTTTCGGCTCCTCCCTGCCCCCCCCCTCCCCTGTCCTCATTACGAACCATATCAACGCAGGCTACCATTACAGACAGGCCCCCTCATTACAGATCGTAGCAACTATTGCCCATTTCAAAATAAAAGGCGGGTGGGTATTTTTTGAATAACTTTTCATAGGAGCAAGATAGAGAGCTGCGATTTTCACCATTGGAAGGAGGAGATGCAGACGTATCGAACCATATAATATTGGTTTTTCCAGGAGACTCTTTAAAGTTTTCTTAATCAATTTTCTAAAACAATGCCGAAAAATTGAGTTGCTATTTTACAACAAAAACGCAAAAAAAGTGATTTTTCACATAGTTTCTAGATCTTCTGTTAGCGGTTCAGATGCACACGAGATTATTGAAAAATTATTTTACTCATCTTACGGAATATGTTCGCTTTCAAAAACATCGCTTTAAGTCTTTGAAAAAACTATGCCACATTATCTTAGAATATACAGTTCGATGTATCTTGATCTCCTCTTTCCATTGGTGAAAACCGCAACTCTCTACATTGCTCCTATCAAAAGTTATTGAAAAAATACCCACCCGCCTTTTATTTTGAAATGGACAATAGTTTCCTGAACAAATTCTCATTTTACAGAGCGAATACTTCCATAGTTAGTTGATAAATCAATGTACATCTGTGTGGTTTATAAAAGACCAAATGGCATTGGTTCAGAGAAATAATCTCAAAAAGTTGAGCATGTCAGTTATTTTAACGAATAGAAAAGTGATATGAATGCAAAGAAGAGTTAGTTTATCAAGATAAACAAAGGGTAAAGTAATTGAACTAAATATTGATTTTTCTTACTAACTTTCTTCTTTGATAAAATCAAAATGAAGAGTAAATTAAATTTATAAATATTGATAGAGGCATTTTCTCAGTAAATGTTGATAATCAAAAAAGAAGAAAAATGGTTCAGACGGCGATAATTTTGGTATAGCCCTTTTACATCTTCATGCTTCGTAGTATTTTTGTTTCCGTAGAAAATTTTCATTGTTACTTTGCGTTGTAGCATTGTAATTTCAATAAAACGATACTGGTTACAAGATTCTCTGGCTTTTTCTCTCATATCATTGATACCAGCGCAAAACTAGTCGATGCACATATTTGTATTTTGGCTTGCGAGTATTGATATGATATGTTCAAGCGAATCAATGATTCAAAAATTGAGCAAGCTTGCATGCTAAAAAGTGTCTAAGTATAAACGAATGTCTTCAATTATTTGATATTTCGCATGAAAAAAAAAAATACCGCAATCATGGTGGTCATAAATGCGATTAGTAGTACAAGAACAAGAATGATGAGAGTGGTATCAACGCCTGCTCGCATTGCTATACAAAATATGCTTGCAAGATGATTCAAGACTTTTTCATATACTCATCTTATAGGATTATACTTCTCTATATTACATGTGGTATTAGAAATTGGTCGAGCTGTTTACGCGAAGTATCATTGATTACGATTTTCCTTGAAGGAAAATCTACTTAGATAAGCTTCAATCTCAAAGGCAAACTTCGAATAAAAAATAATTCAATGTTATCACATAACTTTTATCTAATAGAAAAACAAAAATATGTTTAAAATAAAAACTAAACAAATCATAAGTTTTATTTTGAAAGTATATAAAATAAAAGTTGATCATTATCAGTAAGAATAACAAAAGTTGATCGTTGACAAAAAGTTGCTCGTTTAATTTCATTAATATCTTCAAAAATACGTTTTGAAATAATTTCACCATCAGATCCAAATGAATACAATTGATTACCATTAACTAAAATAAATCCATGACGATTATCGAAAATAATTCTCATCGGTCTTGATAATTGATCAAGTGTTATTGAATATATTGTTACAAGTAAATCAGTAAAATCACGTAATTCAATACGATAATTTACTATTTTCTTTTTATTACGTAATAATAAAGCTAATTGATGATCAGATGTACATAAATGTTCAACATGATCATTAGTTATAATTAATTGATTTGAACAATGAATTATATTACGTTTTGATTTATTAATTGTCCATTGATCAAGACGATGTTTACTTGACATAAATAGATATAAATAAGATAATTTTGAATCATATATTAATTGAGTATAATATGTTTGATTATTAACAGTAATCATTTTTAACCATGAATATGAATGTTGATCAAAATGATATTCAAGATAATAAACACTACCATTTGTTGATAGAACAAAAAATGAATCATCATTTAATGTTGATGAACAATAATCATAACAAATATCAATAATATCAGTATGATTCCATTTAAATTGATCAATAAGAGTTCCATTATTTGAAAAAATATTTAATTGTTTAATTTTATTTGAAAATAAAATAATTCGATTTTGTGAACTAATTAAAATACTTGGTAAAAAGATTTTTTCTCGACGATTATTGATTGAATTCGATGATGATGATGATGATGATAATGATTTTGAAACATCAAAACAAACATTTGGTGGATCATGAATTAATGATAGATCAAAATTTATTGAATGTTCAAATAAAGAAAATAATTCTAAAGTTGTTGATGATGACAATGGAATTAATTCATTATTAATAAGATTTAATTCAACATGAGCAGTTTCATATTCTTTAATATATTTCTGAATTTGTCGATTATATGTATCGATTTCGATTCGTATATTTGATTCATCATTTACTTTAAGTGATAATTGTTCTATGAGATATTCAAAAAAAAACAAATATAATATTTCTTTTCTCTGTTTTTGAAATATTTACCAATATCTGCTGTTAATTGTTGTAATTCAATTTGTTTTTCTGTTGACCATTCTTCAATTTCAAAAGAAATTTGTTCAAATGAATTTCGTAGTTTATGACGAACATGTGAAACTAAATCATTCAATCTTTTAGTCATTGTCATTTCCCATAGATCAATTTGTTCCATTACTAACATATATTGTTTATTGATATTTGTTTGAAGATGATTAAATTGTTTATGATCATCATTTAATGATGATAATGATAATAACTTATTCATATTATTAGTCAATTGACAAAGTTGAGCATCAATTGGTTGTTGATGTCGTGTCAAACATTTTAAACATAGATGATTATCACAATGCATACATTTAGCAACAATCAATTGATTACAACCATCTTCTTTACATATAACATTAGACATCGTACAAATAGACTTTCGATATTTCTTTCTTTAAATATATATATATACATCTAGTAGTATGGTATACTAAACTCTCATAATATATATATATATATCTGATAAAGAAAGAAACAAGATTAATGCAAAGGAAAAAAAAATTGATTTGACTGTTATATAGAGAATTTAGAACGAATAGTGATTTTCAATTTTAACAAGAATGACTGACATTGATAAGTTTTTCTATTGAATACTTTGTTTTGCATTAATATCAGAGATTATAAATAACTAATATCTATTCATGACAAATTTTCATTTGAAAATAAACCTCTAGTTAAAATACTGTTATTGTCTGACACCTAACGAAAAAAAGGCATTTTTTTTATCGTTTTATCATTCGCACTAAAAGAAAGAACTGACCGATGAGACGTGGCTTTCTCTAAACTAGTAAATATTTAAATACTCATAATTTCTCTCTTATCTTCTATAACCTATTATAGATATACTGAGACAATTAATTCCTTCTCACAATTCCATCAGGTAAAGCCATAAAAGACATTCATCTGTATTAAATAAAAACGAAATAAAAAGTTGATTAATTTTTGTTTTTTTTCTTTAGATGACAACAATAGGAATAGATGTTGATCGTGCTTACTCACCATCTCGTTGGTCTCATCGATTTAGTGACAGTGAAAAAGTCATTGAATCTCATGTGCAAACATTAACAAAAGGGACACAATATGCACGAACTACGATACCATGTTTGTTAAATTGGATAGTAGATCCAACAAGTTCATTTCCTGATCATTCGATTGATATTTATTTTCCATCAAATGTTACAGGATTATTACCTGCTATTAATTCAATACAACCCAAAGCAATTTTTGTCTATATTCATGGAGGATATTGGCAATTCTTATCACGAAATGAAAGTGCATTTATGGCTCAAACAATGAGTGATGCAGAAATTCTTACAGCTGTTATTGGTTATCCAATTGCTCCATATGCTACAATAGATCAAATAGTAACATGTATTGAACAAGCTTTAGTTAAAATTCTTGAATGGGCAATGAAATTATCTATTAAAGTATTTATTTGTGGTCATTCAGCTGGTGGTCATCTTGCATCAACACTTTTATTGATTGATTGGAAAACTAAATATAACATTGATCATGAAATTTTTGGTGGTTTCTTTCTTATTTCAGGTGTTTTTGATCTTATTCCACTTGTTTCTACATATGTTAACAAACCACTTGATATGACCATATCAATAGCTAAAAATCAAAGTCCATTACATCGTGATAGTAATGATTATTGGTCAGCATTGAAACATGTACCTATTCTATGTGTTCATGCTCAATATGATCCTCCAACTTTTCATGATCAAAATCGACAATATGGTTCTTATTTAGAAAAAATTGGTTTTGATAATGTTAAAATAATACAATTAGATAATTATGATCATTTTGATATTATAGAACAACTTGAAAAACGAGATCAACCGTTAACAACTATGATTTTAACGTTAATAAAAGATTCCATTTGATATGAGACTCATTGTGTTTAATTTTTTTTTAATTTTTGAAAACAAAATATAATAAAGCTTCATATAATTCAATTGGAAGACTATTGAGATGCTTGATACTGCCATCTACTCCTCCCACAATTGTAGTCAAATTTATTGTAGAAAGAAAAAAGAAAGTCCTCGTTTATTTTCTTTTCTTCAACATTACTTGACGGTTGCCAGGCGACATTTTCACATTATACTTCATTTGTAATATGGCACCACCATCGTTTCATATAGCTATATATGGTCTTTTAAATTCTGATGAATATCAATTAGCTAAACATTGTCTGGAAGATTTACAACGAACACATTCAAAACAAATATCTAATTCAGAAATTCATCCATTACTTGAATATGAATGGAAATCATTTTCATTAAATAAACGCGCAGAATTACGTGGTGAAACATGGTCATTTAATGATAAATGTATGGTATTTATTGATAAACAATTACTTGGAAATGCTGAACAATTTTTACATTGGGCAAAAAATACATTTGATCATACTGATTTTCGTTCAAATGAACTTTTAGGAGTATTTTCAAATGAAGAATACAAGTATTGGTTTTTTGAAAAAGAATGTACGTTATAAACATTTGTTTTTTTTTTGTTCAAGACGTCACTTTGAATCACATGACAATCGACATACGTATTGTTTTATGGATTTTCAAATTGAAGAT